TTTGTTTCTTAAATCATAAACAATTGAAAGCTTTTTCTATACTTAAGATAGTCATTTTTTTTTCCTTCTTTATTCTATTCATGTGGGAAGTTACACTTAAAGATATTTAATGTTAATCTACCCTAGGATAAATCCAATTTGGTATATTTATCTTTTTTTTTTTTTTTATAAACTGCTAGGATTTAGTTTGCTTATATTGATTGAGCAATTTTACATCTATGTCTTTGTGTAAGACTGGAATGAAATTCTTCTTTCTTGTACTATCTTTGACCAGTCTAGGTGCCAACTACACAAGTTTCATAGAAAGAGTTTAAAATTTTTTCTGTTTTTCTATTCTTTTGAAAAGTTTGTTTAATATCAGCATGTCTTGTTCTTGAATGGTTAGATTGCATATAAAATCATGTGTGCCTTTGTGTTTTCTTTGTGTAAAGATTTTTAACAGCCAATTCAATTTTTTAAATGGTTATAGGATTATTCAGATTTTCTAGTTCTTATGGCAGTTATGTTTTTCTAAGAATTTTTCTGTTTTGTCTAAGTACTCCTATATATTGGCATATGGTTATTTATAATATTCTGTTATTTTAATCCCTCTTTTATCTGTAGCATGTCCCTTTCGATTCCTAATTTTGTGGGGTTTTTAATTCTTTCTTTCATTTTTTTCTTAATTAATCTTGCATTAAAGGGTACACATTTACCTTTATATTTGGCTTCTGTGACATCTACACATTCTGATATGTAGTATTTTCATTATGATTTAGTTCTAAGTAAATTCCCATTATGATCTCTTTTTTGACCCATAAGTTATTTAAAATCATATTTCCTGTGATTTCCCAGAAAATCAATTTCCCAATTTATCTTTCTGTTATTGACTTCTAAAACTTGCATTGTGATCAAATACCACATTTTCTATATCACTTTTCTGAAGTTTAGACTTCATTTACAACCTATACATGGTCAATTTTTATATTATCTAATAATTAGGTGCTAGGCTCTATATAGGTCTGTTAAATCAAGCTTGTTAATTATGTTGTTTTCTAAATCTTTATTGATGTTTTTGTCTTCTTTTAAAAAATTTCACCCTTAATTTATTTAAGCATTTTATATGAATTTATATTCTGTAATTGATAATTCCAACACCTAAGCCTTTATAGGTCTAAAATCTGTTTTTTTCTTCTATTGGCCTGTGTTGGGTACTTTTACTTTTTAAATGCATTCATATTTGATTGAACTAAACCTGTAGAAATCATGGGTCCCATACTGGATTGTTCTCCTCCAGAGAGGCTTTGCATTTCTTCTTGCTGCAGTCAGGGTGCATCCCTGTCCTGAGAGCACTTTAGACTGAGGCAAAGGTCTGGGCCTAATACAGGAGTCTCAGATTGAGATCCCTGGTTTGCAGAAAGCCTCAGGTGAGTCTGAATCCCTGTGCTGGTGTCTGCAATCACTGCTCACCCTCTCCCCAGGCTGCATCCCTTGCCAGCAACCT